AAATTAGGGCTTGTAACGACTTTAACTGTTGTTTAACACAGATGTAAATAATCCTGGAGCTTACTATAAGCATGTATATTTATAAAGAATCAAAAGGCTGCAAGTTATGTGGTATTTTCTGATCTTTGCAATCTAAATCGTACTGTATATCTGTATGCATTTTCCTGTATAAGTTTATTTTTATGTATTATAATTCCTTTTGTAAGGCACCAGAGTTTGACACATACGGAATTCTGCATAACTAGAGTTGCATCAAAAAATCATTTATGTTCTTTTTTTACGACAGCCACACTTTATCCTTGTATATCATGGCTACTTCCTTAACAAAAACACATAAAAAAAAGAATTTAACACAAAAAAAAAGTTTCCTCGACTGGGATTCGAACTCGAGACCTCTCACACGCGAAGCGAGCGCGTAACCACTGTACCACAGAGAATTTATACACAGAATGTCTGAATAATATCAACTGATTCTAAATTTAGAACTTCCATTGCAGTTCGGGTTTGTAATCCTTATTAATTTCGAGGTATTTTGTTCAGGGTAAACCTGTTGTTTAAAATTGAAGAAAATATTTTAGCGAAAATCCTCTCGCCCAAACAGTCCGGCATGTAGAATCTATATATTCCACTACTCGGTTTGTGTAGTATTCGGTAATCGACATGGCTAAAAATAGTATTTTCATTGATAAAATCATATTCATCCGCGTAATTTGTGATTGTGCATTTATTGACAATTCTATAAGCCAACGCTATTGTTTAACTTTAAATGCGTTGTAATTTGTTGGATACTTGTAACAAAATAAAATATTTCTTTCTTTTAAATCGCTAGTTTTAAGCTGTTTTGAGAACTACTTGTTGTTAGGTTTGTCGTAAACTTCTGTGTCAGAGATTGAATGTCCGCTTTGTATTTAGTATTTTCGATCAGAAAATACAATAAAACAATATTAGAAATCTTCGACCATTCGGGAATTACTTTGCTTGAAAATTGATGCGCCTGTCTTTGACCATCTTTACGCAGTGATCTCCCCTGAATTTTTCGGCTTTAGTGTACATACAAAAGGGAAGTAACCGATTCAAAAAAGTGGACTACTTTCGGCATTTGCAATTAACAACATTAGACTCTGAAATTTCGCTACCATTATTTGTTTGGTCTGACGACCCAAACAAATAAAAATGATAATAAACTAAAGTACCATCCAGAGTAAGAGAGGTGTCATAACCTTCTTTCATTATAATGTAAAACATATATTTTTGGTGACACGTCATAAAAAAAGCTTCCGGTCACCAGTACATCATACATATATATTTTTTACACTTCCAGTAGAGATGACCAGTAGAGATGATATTTACTCTATTTATGTTCTATTTAGAACCGTGTGGTAGAAACATGCTTTAGTTTCAAACAATAACATGTATGTTGTTTAACATTAACATACAAAACTATATAGATATTGAGATAAATGGAGCGGTCGCATATGTGGTTGACTTATAGTGAAGTCGGTGGTACACCTGACTTCCGACCTACATTAGTGGGCTCGTTGCCGCAGGACCGTTAGGGAGCTTCTATGCCCAAGGTCATGCTCTGTTTTAGTTCAGGTCCACGATTGAGTAGGCGGTGACAGTTCCACTGATTTTGATATTATTTGTTTAAATCTTTTTATGTTATATATAATTGGGTACTTTTAAAAACTACCTTAAACCAGGAAGAAAAACTAAGTAAATTTGTTCTTCTAATAAACATGATAAAGGGAAGTAAATGTGTTAACATATGTTAAAATATTATAGTAGTTATCCTTCTTTATGAGACACGACTTTTAGAAGCGTGGCAATATGGTCATTAATTTTGTCCTTCCTTCTTCAAAGATGAAAGCTACACTATTAATACATATAAAGATTTTGTGATAATAGAAATATGTTGATAAACTACTAAGTATTCCGTTAGGAGACATGGAATTGTGGTTTATTTTAATAAAGATAATCCTTGTCCATGATGTTAATAACTCTACCTACAATGTAATTAATTATTTGGACTATACATAACATAAAACTTTCATATTATACTCTTTTAGTCATTTTCTAAACCATAATCCACGGGAAGACCGAATATATTTTTGTATACACTTTAGGTTATCTAGCTTTAGGCACTGTGGTGAAAAGGATTAGAAAATAACAGTTTATAAAGAATGTAAAAACTATCTCACAAAATCATCTGTTTATAAATATCATATAATAATAATAATACTTTTTTAAACTACCGTATTACAATGTTCTCCTAACGGTTATTCATAAAATCGTATTTCAAAATTATATTATAAATGTATTGTGAAAATCTGAAACTGCATCATATCACATGTTTTCATACTTTTTTACTGATTTACTTTATATATTCATATGATTATACATAATTGTGTGATTGTAAAGTATTAAAGTGATCCCTCAGAAGCATTAATCATAACAAAATTACAAGTGAATAATTATTGAAGACTCGGTTTGACTGAGTCTGTAGCATACAATAATTTAATGTCACGACTGTACTTTTATCCAGGTTATTTTATAAGAACAACATATCAATTCTCGTTGAAGGGAATCAAAGACGGAACGATGTACAACTTAACATAGAATCTAGACCGATATTTTGACAAAGCAACAGAAAACAGGAGTGCGAGGGGCGGTTTTGAAAATTGGATCAGCATTTTGTACATATGAACGGAATGGATGTCCTCTCCATAGACTGTGGAAACTATGAATCTGAGGTTGAAATGATAGTATTCCCCAGACTTTCTAATGATTTAACTATTTTATATTTGTTCATTTATTCTTTGCGTCATCGAGTTTTATTACTCTCATAAGGGAGTATTCTAAGACTTAAAGGCCATTAAATGAAAATGCATGGAGCTGACAAGTATTAAAATGCAGCTTGAATTTTAATTTCCAAGTTGTTTATTTTCTTAGATAAATGTTAAAATTTGCTTTGAACCCCCCTCTTTATGAACAGTGGACAATTGATCTCCCGGTCAAATTCAGCAGAAGGCTATTGTCTAGCGGGAAATTCTCTCGTATGATAGTGTTCAAACCGGCTTTTGGCCAACTGGGTTTTTTCCGTTCCCTGTTGCAGACACATTGAAAGTAAATATAAAGGGAAATAATCTATTTGAATAGAAACGTGTATTTTATAACAGCACATTCATCACATTAATGCATAATTATTGCATTTGAAAGCAGAAAAAATAAGATGAACATTGTAGACAAAATTACTTTCATGTCTTCACAGGTGCCTTTAAATCCAGCATTTCTCAATACTTCACTTATTTCAGCACAAGACAGACTTCCATATTTGTCATCCTCAGAGATTTTTACTTCAAGGTCTAACAATTGTCTTTTCAACCAATAACATAATTCATCGTCAGAACTAATTGTTTGGCCAATATTGATATAACGTTGCCCGGCAGACAATTCTTCAAATCTTTTATCAAAATATAAGATTCGTCCAAAGCTGATGCAGAAGAGCGAGTGATACTTTATTATAAGTGTATTCAAATAATATATATCTTGGTGAATACGTTTAAAATGGAAATTTCTAATGTGATGTTCATTATAGTAGATGGGTCATTCAGGGCCATACAATATGCTACCACTATTTAATACGCATTTTAAAAACAGCATAATTCTTTAATTCTTTAATTTTAGAGACCATAAAAATACATTTACAAAAAAATACAACATAGAGATCAAATAAAAAACGGCGTTAAAAACTTAAAATATTATAAGAGTTTTTATTCGGTTATATAGACGCAATTTGGAAATTCTTGGAGGTACGTATCAGGATATTGAGGAGTTGAAATATTTTGAGGTACTTTTCGCTGTTTTAAGTTAATTAATCTGGAAGGATCTTTTTAGAGCACCCTCGTATACAAACCAAAACAAAAACTAATTAATTTGGTTAACACATTTATTCATGATGTTTAAGGTATGATTCAATACAATAGAACACTATATAAGAATGCACACTAACCAATACATTTGAACACGATACAGTACTTAAGTGAATAAATAAAGGGAATAATTAGGGTTGATTCATAACTTGGTTCAAAATAATCATTATCAATTCAAAAATATCTGTCAATCGTTTTCCTTATTTCACTCATCTTATCAAAAAAAGTTTAAGACATACCTTAATCCTGCTTGTGTTTCAACGAAAACACACTTTTAATCACATGACTCCAATATATTATTCACTGTTTGAGAAATATGTTTTCATAAGTATCTTAGTAGCGTTATGTCAAAATAATTTTGAATTGCTAGTGCTTCTTTTTATCATACGGAATAGTATTTGCTTAATTTCTTTCAGAACAATAACTCTAATTATATGAATCAATATGTTTCATTTAAAACTTAGTATTCAACTTGTAATTTCGATTTGTGCGTGCCGTGTTAACGTAATAGACATATAATCAAAGTTAACAAATTTAAATTGTCTTTTTATAGATGCATCAGAGGCAAATAAAAAATTGATCCGGAACAGGAATTATCCATAAATGCCCAAATTCATCACGAATGATGCTACACGATATCACAAGTTTTGATATAATAAACAAATTTTAGTAAACCTTTAACCTTAAACCGTTGTTGGTTTGTGCAGTCATGTGCGGAGACAATCTAGCTAGCAGTGGCTTTATCAAGTTGCCTGTTCGTACCTGAATTATTTGAAATAATGTAAAGAGGGCCCCTAAGAGATATTCTTGCATCAGTGAAAACTAACCACATGGCATTTCCTGTATTGGTGTCACGTAAAACATAACCTAAACTGTGTGTATTTTGCATAACATAAATGATTATTCTAGAGAAATGTACCTGTATCAGTTTAACTGCCGTGTGGACAGTTTAAGTAGAGTTTCTAAATACACTGCCTTTCGTTTTAATATAAAGAATAAGTGAGTTTTTTTTTCATGGAAAGGTGAAAATGTGTTAAAAATATTCAATGAACTTGTGGCATGTCATATTTAATCTGACTTGTCCGAGAACTTGCAATGCGGACATTCAATATTACACCGAAGTTTACTTTTTGAAAGAGAAACTATGAAAATATTCTTTAAGTTTAAAATTTTCTCGAATAGTCTCTTATCTTTGGGCATTGACACATTCCTCCAGTTAACATCGATTGAAGAATGATAATCTGCTAATTCCTCATGAACAATGTACTGAAGCTCGATATCATGATGCACGCTTCTGCGTAAGACTCTGATCCAAACTCCACATTGAAACAGATACTTCACCATCCACTCATCCCTATTTTCGAGCATAAATTTCTCGACCTTATAATTCCCTGCTTTCGTAAAACAGTAACAACTTGTATTGTTATGCAAAAGAAATCCATGTTTAGTCGGACAAATTTTGTACTTATCTTTCTGCCTGAATAATGAAAATATCCGGTCCATCTTACACTGGACTAGATCATACAGGATTACATGTAAACGCTTCTTTGTTTTGGCCAGTAAACCCAAGACAGACTGATTATTCATACATATTTGAGTTATCTTTTCTTTCCGAAAGGAAAAAAGTGAACGCATTTCAAAATCTTCGTCTTGAGTTTCTACAACGTAAACGGTGGTAAAGTTGATTGTACCTTCTTGTCCATTTGCTGTCACGGATGACGACCTTGATGAAGAATTTGAGGATCTAACACTTACAGATCTTTCCGGTGTATCTGTCGCGCACGAAATATTATTTACACTCCTATCCGAAATAATTTCAGGGGATAAATGTGCCTCTCTGACACTTGTGATATCATTTTGATTTTCCCTCTCGCGACATGAACAGACACATTCAGATTCACTCTCTGAACTACTAGAATCTTCAGAATCTTCATTGATGCGCACAGTTTTATTAACTATTCCAACCACACTGTCATTTGTGATATTCACATGTGTGAAGTCGAAATCAACAATATGTCCATTTTGAACCTCCTCAAATTCTACATATGTCGTGAATCTATCTATCTCATTAGAACAGAGGTCAACAGTGATTACATGTTTTACATTTTCCTCAGCAGAATCATCTTCTTCGACAAAATACAATTCGGGGTTATCATTTCTTACACCAGCAATTTCTTCCCATAATTCTTCGTAAGGATATTGGTCGTAGTAAATGGAGTTTAGCCTGCACCAACGATCATTGCGTAGATCTAATCCCACAAAATAATTGCCACCAGAAGACATTAACAGCACATAATTTCTGGAACATTTTTGGTCAGTCTGTCTCACTTTAGTTTCTAAATTGAGTATCTTATTTAACATTACATCTTCTTTAACGGTTTCCCAAGCTGACAGCGTTACTTCCGATAAGTCAAGTGTTTCAAACAATTTGATAACAAAGTCTTTCGTCGACTCATTAGGATAAGTATTTGCCAATTTTACTAGGAAGTTTAATTTGTCGTCTATTTGAACGTACGAAAATCTTTCATCAGTGAAAAGACGGTGAACTAAATCGTTTGGAAGATCAGCAGCATCATTGTGTTGAAATGTTTCTGGTATGTGACTTTCGATATATTCGATACATGCAAATATTTCGAAATCAAACTTTTTCGATAGTTGTATAACGTAGATGCAGTTTATGTCTGAATAATCTACAGAATCAAACCAATCTATACAGGCATCCTTAAGCTCTTTTATTTTGAGGTATTCTGCTAATTCTAGTAGGTCACCTATATTCACGATAGTAAATTCAGGAATCTTTCCATACATAAACATGACTGCCATCTGCACAATATCAGGGGACATCTTAATCTTTATCTCAATTTCCGTATCCTGTTTTCTGTCAGTTTTCCCATCATAGTTGCCTAGAAAATTGAAATACCTTTAATTAAAAGGCACTCATGATTAGGCCAAAATAAACGGTATTTTATAGTTTTCTGAATTCACAAAAAGATGCATTGAATGTAACATTATCAACATACATTTCAAGTGATTTATTATTTTTTAAAGTATAGCGTTATCTATCTAGCTAGCTTTCTACTCAGGCGCCCGATGTTCGTTCGTGCCCGAAATTATGCACGGAAAGGCACCTGAGTTCTTCCACTAGTAAAAGCTGGAAAGTCGCCACATGACCTATACTGTGTCGGTAAGACTTAAAGCCAAACTAACCAAAAAAAAAAAAAAAAAAAAAAAAAAAAAAAAAAAAAAAAAAAAACAATCAAAAAACATTACCTATTTTCGAGTCCGCAATTTGTGTTTCTATTATGGAACGAAATAGCAGACTTGCAGTTAGCACACATCTATGAAATCTCTTTCTCTGAAAATTAAAGTCAACTTAATGATAAGCATATTGTGGCAAATGACGTTTAGATAAATTTGGAACAACAAATGCATGATATGTATTTAGACTTTTGTTAACTTACCCAATCACCTATTGTGACTGTAAGATCACAAAACTCGGATTGTTCCTCAACTTGATGAACAAGACAATCGAAATTTGACTCAGGGTCGTGTTTGTGTTCTTGAACCTCCATATCCTGTGAAAAATACATTATGTTATTCTCTTACGAAAAAAAAAAAATAAAAAAAAAATAAAACCAAAAAACCATCAATAACATTTTTTATGTACCAAGCGACAAAATTAAGCAAAAACATGCGCATGCGTAGAAAAGGCAAGTTACTGATCCGAAGCGTGCCTATTCACAAACCATAATATCATAAAATGACTAATTCAAAAGTGATAATTTAAATATCATTATTCATAATATGTACGGACATGATAAAGGACGTTACACTTACGGTATTTGTTTCAGTGTCGAAGAGGTTATATAATACGACTATGCCACTCTATTGTTCTTTATCAATTACTGTAACTCTGTTAAACGTAAACAAACATTTAATTATTGTAAACTCCTCTCCTTTGTCTATGTTTTTAGATTCACCATATGAAAATGTATTTAAAACATAGTTTACACTCAAATTATTTCAAATCACAATGATAAAAAATGCCTTTCATGTTGTATTCGAAATTGTTTAAAACATTCCTTTGGTGTCCAACGAAAAGTCTTTACGCTTAATGAATTCCATATTTCGCGATTACATGTACATAAAAATACACTTTCGGTGTATCCATTTTCGTTTTATTACCGTTCGGTAAATGTAAACAATAAAAACACTTACGATTTTGAATTGGTGTAATTACAAATTATTTCTTTATAAATCAATATATATCTTTACATAGTACATGTATAGATGATTTGTAATTCTATTTAGGATTAATTTTGTAAATTCTTACCTTTTCACATTTCTACCAATAGGACTTTATACATATTACGAAACATCTAAAAATAGCTTTAAAAATTCCTTTATTTTTCCCTTTTGGTAATTTTTGGGTATCTATGGCAAAATCTATAATAATTTTTTGGGTTTGGTGCCCCTTTATACTTTTTGTTAATCTAAAATATCTCTAAAAAATAAATGAATTTTTTTAATCACGAAAGGGTCTTTTTCTAAGGGGTTTTGTAGAAAACATGTTTTTATTTTAAAGGAAAAAATATAATAACAGCTCATTGGTTTGGGGGAAATTTTTTAAAAAATGGGGGGAAATTTACTTTTAGCTGTATTAAATTTTTAAATTCTTTTGAACAAAGGATTTTTAAAAACGTAAAATTGGGTAAAATATAACCCTTTTCATTCCTTAATAAAATTTACCCTTTTACAGTTTTAAAATTTAAATTTTAAAAATTAAACGAATACGGGGCCCCTACAACTTTTTTAAAAACCCCCATTTTATCCCTTTTTCACAATTGATATATCTCTATCAAGTATTAAAATAGCTCCAACACATACTTGATTCATATATAAGTGATTTAAAGCATACTATATTCGTTATTTTTGTCATTAAGTTTTGTCGCACTCGGTGGCCTAGATTTTCATAAGTTTGTAAGGTAAAATGTTGTACTTTCTTTTCTGAGTTATAAATTACTAGTCGTCAAAACATGATGTGTTTATTTTTTGAACGTACAATTACTAGTTTACAAACAAATCTTATCTTTTAAAATCAATAAAATTCCGAACAAATGAGACAAAATGTTTGTGAAACTTAATTGTGTAGAAATGTTTAATTTAAGGCAATAGTAAATGTATTTGAAACAATTATATTTACTTGAATATTTAAGATATCCTTAATAATCATTTTGGATTTTTAATGTCTTGAATATGCATACAATATTTCAATAACAAAAAACAACATTTAGAATAACATTATGTAAAACCTTATAATTTCAGCCATGTTTGGACAACTTTATCATAGGGATAGAAAATATAGCGGTTTAAGACCAAACTCCAAATTTAGATATCTCGTCGAACAAGTTGATGATCAATCTCCGTTGTGTGACTTTACTGTGAAGGTTGGATTATGGGTAAACAAAGTTATTCATACTGTATTTATAAATCTTATAAATTCAGATATAAATTGATGTAAGTTTTAAGTCTTGATTCTCAGGGTTTATACTGTTGAACCTATTTTTAAAAATATTAGTTCAACCATATCCTTTAAAAATATTGTTGAAGATCCATTCATTAATAACAATATAAATAAATGAATAGTCTTCAAAGAGGAAAAACAAGTTTTAATGCCTTTGGTATCTGGAACTCGATTAGAGATTCGATAACTTATTAAAAATCTAGCATGATACAGATAGTGGAGAAAAATCAGCCTCCAACATGTATTTTGTATGTGTCGTTCAAAACATATACCATTGACGTACTTACAAAGCATAATATACAGTGAAACCTGATGTTAAGTTAATTATTACTCCGAAGTAGAGTAGTGCACTATTTCATAAGTACATTTAATTGTTCTATGTAAAAGTCAGCAGATGTTTCTAAATTAAAAAAAAACAAAACAAAAAAAAAAAAACAAGAAAAAATACCATTTTATGTTGAATTTTGGATTCTGTTTGAGCAAATGTTAGGGGACTTGGACGGTAGATTGCATTTTTCAGTACAGTCCATGAACAGGGTTATCAAACCGACCCTTTACATTTTAAATTTCGCCGCTTTGGACGTTGTTATGGATTCTTTATTTATCTATATTTTAGCTTTATTACAGCACAAAATATATGCCTATCATGTATTCTTCAGACAAAACGATTTCATCGATGCGTGCTTGCCTCAAGCCGTTTTTTCCAACGAGCTATGAGTGCAAACTTTACAGAAAAGCAAAGAGGTAAAGGATACTTATTCGTATTGAGAATAACAGTTTTCTTAATTTCAAACGCCTATTAATTCTTTAATATCTAAGATAAATATAAATAAAAAAAATAGACATTTACCTAAATAATAGTAATTGAGTGCGATATACTTAAATCTTAGTAAATGAAACAAAATAAATGAGAAAAATCTAAGTGCTTTGTCTGATTTAAATATTTAGTGTTTTCTTAATTGACGAAATAAACGTATCTGGTTATTGTTGTTATTATGGAAATGATATAAGACATGTTTCTCATGACACATATGAAGAGAATTTTATAATAAACAACAAAAGTTTCTGCATTCTGATAAGATCTCATTTATTGCAGGACTGGTGGATGTAAGTGTTGGTACGCCTAATTCAGTTGAGATGGCAATAATGTACCTATATGGCGTGGTGCCAGATATAAACATAGACAATATAGAGCTACTTCTTGAACAAGCGGAATACTTTATGATTGAAGGTCTTAAAATTACTTGCATCAATTGGCTTTGGGATTTTGAAATTACGAAAGAAACGTACATATACGTACTGAAACTATCTTCGGTGTACAATTTCGAAGTTCCAAACTGCATGGAATATGTAGAAAGCCATCTGCCCGAAATTTTCAAAACAGAAGATGCACTGTACTTTTCAAGGGAATTAATCCAAAAGCTATTCACTGACGAACGACTCTCTTATGTATCGATGGACGAACGGATTATTGTTTCTAATGCACTGGGTCAGAAATAACTCGGATGAGACAAAAGCAAATGTTAAGGAACTCTTTGACACAATTGATATACAAGATATTACCGATTCTCTTTTGCGGGAAGCTTCTTGTGTGGCATATTAAATGATTTTATGGTTTCAAGCAATGTGGAACGCACGTTACATGGAGGTGAATGTAAATGTGATGTTTTACTCATGACAGGTGAGAAAGGTTCCCTTTTGTGCTTTAATCCTCGAAAACGACACGTGGTATAAACTGATTCCTGAAAACAGCAACGACATTCTTTATAGAAATATTTCTGGTATACACGGAACACCAAAACCTGAGTTATATTTTACTAAAGGAGAAGGTCACTTGATGCCAATGGTAACGACCTTGAATATAATAACTAACGACAAAAACACATACAAGTTTACCCTGAAAGACGAGGACATTTCTAGGGAAACTATAACAAATGTATGCCTAGCAGATAACACCTTGCGTGTTCTCACTAGAAAACATGTTCAAATTATAGAAACACTTGCTGGTAATCAAACTAAAAATAAAAATTTTGATGCTGATTGCCCTGGAACTTCATCAAGTAACATCGATTTAGAATCATCACAAAAAAGAGTCAGAATACCGATCATTTGTGATAATGAAAGATCATACCCAGAAAATTTTAGGAGCGAGGACCAGAATATAACTGTGAAGAACACGGTTAATACCGCAGTTCATGTTGGCAGTGTTACAAATGAAAATGTAGAAGTAGTACCAATATTTTATTTGCGAAACATTGACATTTCACGAGTATGTTTAAACAGCACACTTTCTACAGTGGCTTTACTTCCAAAAGACCAAAGGTCTGTGATACTGTTTGATCTTATAAGTTACAAAATGGAAACATTTTGTTTAGAGCAAGCAACTCATTACAAAATGTCTACGACAAACAAAGGATTTGTTATATATAACAACAAACGTTGTTATTGTTTGACAAATATGTACTGGTCACTACCATCTCAAAGGTACCTGATTGAGCTCTTTGAGCTCGAATCCGATGACCATAGGACAGACTACCTGTTTTGCAATGGTTTTTGGATCAAGTTTTTAAAAAAACGTATCTAATATTGATCCAAATTTAGCAATGAGCTTTATTCGCCACGGAGAACTTCTCATGAGGGAATGCCCTACAGACTTAAAATGGACAAAAATATCTATACCAGAGAGAAAGGTGATGCATAAACTGTTATTAAGCAATGAAATGTTTGGTGTGCAATTGTCAAAGAACAATCTACGCTGTCACATCCATTGTTCCTCACTGTAAATAGTCTCAGCGACAAAGCTCCTATAAGGCTTCCAGAATATATTACAGATATACAGACCCAGACGACCAGATTTGAAATTGGATTCAGCAGTGCACGTGTTGGCGAAGAAAAATATCCTACGAATGGTCCGTCCGTTAAACACTTTTACCACATTGGATGAACTAAAACAAAAGTGCTTAGAACAAACATATTTTATATAACTTCCTGGTTTGTGACCTTCTTAATTATTGATCATCACAATTAGATACCATAACTCTTTGGCTGTGGTATTTCAATATTTGTAAGAATCATTTTCCTGTTTTAGCTGTAGTGTTCGTTTTAAAGTCACATCGGCACTGTAAGGTTTATAACGTGACTATCTAGCTTTACTGCCAGGGTAGATTTAAGGTGTTATAAAGTCCCTGACTGTATTTGAATTTACAGCGATGAAGGACAAGTGAGTTGAAGTTGGTGACAATAACCGCTCGGCCACGAAGGCACCTAGTTCTGTATAATCAAAGATATTTGTTCGTAATTATTTTATAGATCAACTATTATACCTTTGTTTCTTTCATAGATTAGAGCAGGCAAATAAAGTATCGAAAAAAGCAGGAAGAATATATTCACATTGCCAAAAACGATTAACATATTACAACAGCAGTCCATGTACAGGGCCTATGAAACAATATTGCTGTGTTGTGCCACAGTCTAGTTTTCCATTTCTATAAGAAGAAATATGATAAAATTATACCATACTCGTATGTCACAGTTTCTGCAAGCATTTCAGGTAAAAATATTGATGCGGTGTCCAAATTCGAAACCGCCAGATTTTATGAAAGTTTAACACATTTGATAAATATGAATTGTTTTTTGTTTATATTAAGATATCACAAGTTGTTGATTTTATGGGA